GGCCGCTTGTGTCTCTGTCCTCTGATATAAACACAGTGGGAGTTGAATAACACTTGAGAAGCAAGAGAAACACTCGCTACGCTCGTGTTCCTAAGCTTGCTTCTCTCGTGTTTTTCGAACTCCAGACTTCTTTGTGTGATCACGAACAACCATGATGTCTTGAATCCCACAAGTGGGTTCTTTCTCCATGTAACAGACTCATTGCCAGATGTTCCTAATACCAAGACCTAACTCATATACATTTAAGACCAGTTTACACCCAAAATCCTTTAAAAAAATAAATTTTAAAAGTAGTTGCTGAATTCGTAAGAYCAGTATTAGTCATTTGAGGTGGGGGATTAAGGATTTTGGGTGTAAACTGGTCTTAAATGTATKTGAGTTAAGTCTTGGTATTAGGAACATCTGGCAAGGAAAACTTGGGTCTGTTACATGGAGAAAGAACCCACAAGTGAGAGAATATAACTAGTTGACAATGCTAACTSGAAAACACAGGTAACCCACCACATAACGGACAAAAGTTACCCCTCTGCTCATTGATCAGTGCAGGGTGTCAACTGATTGAAGTAAAGCAGCCATCAGCACTTCTATTTTACTTTATGCGTATTCAATGTGGGATGACAAGAGTGCTTTGTAAAGTGATTTGCGCATGATCGGTTGCCCCATTCATCTCAAAACTTATTTTTACGGCAATTTCGCAAAGAAATTTTACGGATTTGAGTTTCAAATTAGAGTTGGAGTTTTTTAAGTGCGCATTTTGAACACTCAAGATCATGTTTAAACGTACACATATAGCCAGGTTAATCTAGATACATAGCTCTTGAATTTGAAATTAAGGGAAATATGAGATATACAGCCCCACAAATAAAATGAAAACTGATTCAATGAAATAATAAGTCCAATATCTCACAAGTGAGCATAGCAATCACAAGGTTATAAACAGCCTGACCATATGATGTTTAATGCTTTTAATTCATTATTATTAACTATACTGCAGGAGATTGAGTATAACTTCACCCCTAGTCAGTTTGTCAAAGACTTTCCCACAAAAACTGCTTGTTCAACATATATGGAACAATTTAAGGAAGGTATAGACTGAAACAATTTGATACAGACATATATTGGTGTAATGGTACATAAAAGTTATTTTAATCATGCCTTTTGGTTGTTGTATTTTGCTATAGGCACAAAGCTTGCAAGGGATCTTTTTGACAACACATTAGACATTCAATATGACTCTCAAAGTGAATGTAAACTTGATTTGTACAGATGTAAAGATACAGCAGACAGTGGTTAGTGAACATGTAATATATAACATTTATTCACTGTATCTCCAATACAACTCTTACACATTTTAATTTATAGCTCTTTTGTATCCTTAACTTGTGTGTGCTTGTTTCTGGATTGGTTATAGATTAAAATAATATAAAAGTTTGAAAATAATACCAACTTCAGCTGAAGCATCATTACCATAGCAACTATAATAAATTTATGGTTGTAGCTTTTTTGTTCAAACTATTTCCATGTACCATCATGACACCTGAAAGCACAATAAATAAAATCTATATTTTAAATATATCTTTGGAGTATTGCAAAACAATTCCAACTATTCACAAACGTTAGTTTGTTTGATCATTCAAAATAGATATTTTGTGAAATCGATACCCTCTTCCAGAGTAAAATCACTAAAAACGATACCCTGGTTGGTGGCACGTTGGTAGCGAATATAGGGGAGTACCCCCCCCCCCCCAAGGAATTGTATTTAATACTGCTGGTCTAGGTGTAGCCTGATTTTCAGACGGGCCTGGGTTTGACACTTATGCTAACCCTTGGGGAGGAAAGCATTAGTGTTGAACCCAGACTCTAGGGTACTCCCCTATATTTGCTATACAGGTTTGTGCCACTTGATAGGGTCCCTTTTTTGGAGCTTCGAGTCTGGGATAGGGTATCATTTTTTGCCCATTTGTCTGGGATAGGGTAGTAGTTTTGTTTGGGATAGGGTAGTAGTTTTGTTTGGGATAGGGTATCATTTTTTGCCCATTTGTCTGGGATAGGGTAGTCTTTTTGTCTGGGATAGGGTGGTAGTTTTGTCTTGGATAATGTAGTTTTTTGTCTTAGCATAGGGTGTAGTCTCATTGTCTGGGGTAGGGTGGAGTTTTGCCTGTGATCGTATCTGCTAGGCCATGCTTTCAGCGCTAAAATAATGTACCTTTGTACCTTTAGTCTGGGGTAGGGTATGTAAAATCACAAAAATTGGTCTGGGATAGGGTAAGGATTTTGAGGGTCATGCCGCATACCCAAGTTTGGGAACTGAAATCAACAGAAATATCGTCAATTGCAGACATTTCTATAACTGACCCAAAAAGCAAGTACACAGTTAAACTTATCATGATAAGGTAGACCTGACTGATTTACATGATTTTTTTTGTAAAAGACCTATCCACTGTAAGAATTGGTGATAGTAGGGGAGGCATTGGACTTTGATTTGATTCTCATTGTATTAATTTAATTATCTTTTAGCTCCTGTCTTCATTTTCATCCATGGTGGCTATTGGCAAATGTGCAGGTATCATCAGTCTTTTTAAGCTGTGGTTATATATAGTCTGGTTATTTAAACTTTAATTAACATATCATTACAGCAAAGATGATCATGGAATTGTTGTGTTTCCTGTAATGGAAGCTAATGCAAATGCTGCTGTTGTTGACTACCAGTTGGCACCACACGGTAATGTCATATATTAAGTATAGCATCCAGCTTCGCCTATAGTGTAATAGAAAAGTATAATATTGCTTACACAAGGCATTCAATTAAATTTACTCTGCTTACTGATTCATTTGTTCCTCATCTCATATGTCATGTGCTCTATCAATCCTACAGCATCTTTGGATGACATTCTTTCTCAAATATGCAGTTCAATAGAATTTATCAGTAAAAAATTTCTGAACTCCAAGTAAGTGGATCACTTTCAAATAATGATAGTATATCCCTAATATACAATGAAATATGAAATAAAACACACAGGTTGTATTTGTGTGGCCACTCTGCAGGAGCGCAACTAGCAGCAATGATCTTAACCTTGTCACACTGKCAGGATACAAATCTATCTAAGCACATCTCAGGTAATAAGAGAGAAACTGAAAATAACATTTGAGCAGTTTTGTATATATTTATTCATTCAATTTTAATTGGGATGGTATCTTGGGGATCACTTTTAAAACCATGATTGGAGCTGTCATTTCTGTCTGAAACTGTTTCAAGATAATTTGGACTTTGGATAACTTGACTTTTCAGGCATGCTGCTTCTTTCTGGTGTTTTTGACCTTATCCCACTTCTCAAAACAAGTGTGAATATACCATTAAAAATGGACAAGTAAGAAATTATATGATTCAAGTGACCAGGTAACACTTAGAAAAATGCACCATTTCATTTGTATCATTTTCTCTTTAATCTGTTCAGGGATGTTGCTACAAGAAACAGTCCTTTACTTTTGTTAAGAGAACAAAAGCCAGCATTCATTTGTCCAGTGGTTGTGGTTAATGCTGAGCTTGATCCACCAAGGTTTAAGGAACAGTCTCAGAACTTTTGCAAGGCATGAGGCATTATAATGGCATATTTAATATTAATTATTTGTAATACTAAATTAAATGCACTATATGCATTATATGCCATGAATTAGGCTAACACATCTAGCAGTTATTTTATTCATTTTTTTTTTCTACATCTTGATAGCTTGTAAATATTTTAATGTAGATAACTTTTCTTTTGTTTAAGGTTCTTGAGAATCATGGGATAGCTACTAAATATTTGGATATTCCTAACACTGACCACTTTTCTTTAATTACAAAGTTACAAACCAATACTAAATACCACCTAAGTCAGGTAAAATATATGTTAATCATAATAATTATGTTGTGTGTTCACCCATTTTACTTTTGCACACCACACCACACACTATATATTAGAAGTAAAAAAAGATTTATTCTGCGCCACAATTTACTTTTATAATTATAATGAAATGATAGACAGATTAGTACATGGTCTCTTTGAGATTTTTATCTTWTAATATGTTGAAAATCTTTCACTCGATCTAAGAGCTTCCAGTTTTATTCAAGACATGCAAAGGACACAAAAACATCACAAAAACAACGATACATGGCACCACCTTGTCCTATAGTGCTTTCCATGAAACGATAACCAGATTTATCAGCAAATTATGGAGACCTTCACATTTCCTTATTGTCATGAATGAGAGCAATAAATACAAAAGTAACAGAGAAAATACAGTTGAATAAAAAAAAATATGGGTGTAAAGTGTAGCTCRATAGTATGCTTGCTAAATTTCACACAAGAGACTATAGGTGTAATTGCAATATGACACTGGAAGTTCGGAGTACACCAACGGATTGATTGTTATTGGGGCTTCCTCTCGTCCAAACGCGACCAAATAGATAGATACATTGGCAAAAAAGTAGAACTATGGCTAGCCCAACTAACAAAGGGTTTATTGTTCACAATTGATTATTATATGCAATAGGACTCCATGCTGTCCAATTAAGAAATAATTGGATGAGGAAAATTCCGAGGACTGCCAAAAATTGGACGAGGCCGTGGCCGAGTCCAATTTGGCWGTCAGAGGAATTTTTCGAGTCTAATTATTTCTTAATTGGACAGCATGGAGTCTTATTACCTATTAATTATATAGCCACATATTGATCCCAAATAGGTAAAAGCCAACCACAGCTTTTAACAATAACAGTAACGACACCTTCATTTTTAACAAAAAATAACTTTTATTTATATCAGTAACAAATCAGTGTTACAACATTTTGTCAATAATCATACATAATTTTTAAAAAATTTATAGCAAAAACCCAATTGAAAACCTGTCCAATTAATTTCTTAATTGGACTAATTTCTTAATTGGACAGGATTCCAAAATTAACGAAAAATCCAGCTTTTACCTATTTGGGATTAATATGTGGCTATATAATTAGATAATAAATACTAATAAAATTTAGGTAATTATCTGAAATACTAATACAATTATATCTTTTTCATAAGGAAATCATTGCAATGATAATGGAATAGTGCTTACAGTAATGCAACAAGTGATTAATATTGCTCAACAATCAACCCAAACTCAAGAATTTATGTCCACTAGTAAAACTGTACTGTAATGTAGTAAAACAACAAGAATAATGTAATGCAAAGATGAACACACTTACTGATTATTATCATATGGYGACAGGGCCATACAAACCAGTATCTTTCCGGCTTGAAGTTTTCATCAAATGGCTTAAAAAACGCTGTCATATGATAAAATGCTTATTGACTGAGTTAGATCGGGCTGTACAGGAAAATATTTGACTCACAGTCATATGTACGGACCTCGCTGCACTCGTTCCGTACGGCATAACCTYGAGCCAAATATTTTCCCRTACGGCCCTCYCACTCAGTCAATACGTACATAATACTAATACAGGTAGTTAACAACTTACAAAATTCCAACTGAAAACTTATTCAGACACATTCACAACTCTTGTTTAATAATATAGTCTTTTTACATTGTAAATAATGGGTAAATTGCACAAATGAATGAGAAGAAATAGGTCTATCTATGTATTGATAAAATAACTACAAATAAAAAAAGTGTACAAAAGTTATTCCAATGGGTGATATCAATAAATATAAAACATGCTATAGAGAGCACAGGTCCAGCACACAAACCTAAAATTGAACAAAATTTGAAGTGAACAAGGATGCTATTAAAAGAAAGGGTTACTAGTATCGACTTAAGTCTTTGTAACATTTTTTGTATAATACCAGTGTAGGGCACTATTTTTACCATGTTCTGAAATGTTAAGACCATGTCAAACAATATACTCACCAGACTACTGGAAAAGCATGCAGCTAGTTTGTCTCCTTTGGAATTCCAYTGAACATCATAAACAACTCCATCACCTTGAAATGTATGAGCCAGATTACCAGTCTGTAAGACAAATACATGTCAAATAAGTGGCTTCTTTGATTTGGTGATAATGTTATGGATCTATGAAATGGRTTGCCYTATGCATGTTCCAGAACTTTACAGTATTAYCATCAGTATGATACAATTTGAGTATTTTCAGAAAGTTCTTTCATTTCTACTAAATTATTACACATGCYCTGCTATGCAGGGGACGTGGAGTAAAATGCTGTTTCTTTCTTGAAACAACTGTATATCTGCCTAGTAATATATCTGATATTTGATATTTACATCAACAAAACAAAGCAATTCATCACTGACATTAGTTTTCCGGCAAATCCGGGAGAGATGACGTCCCTGATGAAAGTTTACATTCAACTAAAATCTGCCACTTATTACTCATTACTCCTCAAGGTTATGATGAGTTATGATGACGAGATCTCAAATATATGGATCAGCACGCTTACTACTTGTGAGGCATCGGCAATGGCAGACCAGTTAGTTGAATGCAAACCCTTCCAGTTGTATATCAAGTGTATCATACTAGGTAATTTTAATATGTATTTCTCTATTTTCTTGTTTATTACTACGATTGAATATCAATAAAACTCTTTAGAAATCCTTATAAGTAAATTTTGTGGTGTTCAAACATCTGCAATGGATATATGTTGAGTTTTTATGCGTGTTACAATCATAACAGAAAGTTACTAACGTCACGTTAACATCATGTTGTAACCAACTCATGCCTAGTAATATATCTGACCCTGCAGAATCACAAAGTCAGATACAGCTGAAATTTTATCGCAAAAATCGCATATCTTGGCAAGGTTTAAGGCCTCATTTACTAATGATTTTACAACATTAGTTACATRTACAATACAACAAAGGGCGCATACAGGGTCTAGTTTACAACTAAGTCCCAAGTGACTATTAGACATAATTAGTAATAGAAATACTGATGACATGGGCTGCATGGGGTATGACAGAAATAAGAGAAAATATATCATTAGGTTTGTGACAATTAATGTCAACATACTTTAACCTATTTAGTTATAAATTGGTAACATGATGTAAAACCAAAACTAGTTTTTTTTATCTCTTTTTATCATGATGACATATTCATAATTCACAAAGTGGTTTAAATGTTTTGCAGTGATATGGTGAATCAGAAACCTATAAGGGAATTGAAACGTCTAAGGCCCGTACATTTCTTTAGTCCAAGTGTTGGAATATTCAAAGCTCATTAAAAATTTGAAAACGAACGTTATGACCATATTTGGAAAATTGGCCATTGGATAAGAGATTGAAGGCCCATTCTGGTTGGCTATAGGGTAAATTTAATTGTTCCAAATAAGGTCAAATAAGGAAATGAGATGMAAATTAGATTTGAATATTCCAACAGTTGGCACGGCGTTACAAGTCCCTTATAGGTTTCTGGGTGAATACAGTACATATATATTTTATGCAAATCAACCTTTATGCTCACCTGTGTTGACCATATATGAACATGTTTATCGAATGATCCTGATGCTAAGTATTTGCCATCGGGACTAAAGGACAGTGATGTGACAGGTTCAAAGTGTTTACTTAATGTATATAAACAGGTTCCCTTTTCAACATCCCATAACCGTACAGTTGTATCATAGGAYGCACTGCAAAATCAAAAATTGATAAAGAACATTACAACTGAAATAGGCTTTTATGCACACTGTAAACAAATCAAATAAAGCAAAGTTTCCATAAACCATACCTTGCTAGTAACAGTGGACAATTAGGACTACCTGTAGGACTCCATGTTATAATGTAGATCTCTTTTTTATGTCCTTGTAAATCTTGTATGCACAAATCTTGTTTTAAACTCCAGATCTAACAATCCAAATATTAATAGGATAAAATGTTAAAATAAACAATGACAAAATAACAAGGATAGAATAATTTTACAGATAAAATTGATAATAAATCATTGTAAAGAATAACACATTTAAGTTACGACGTTTCGAAGTCATCTTGACTTCATTTTCAAGTATTTTAATGAGATTCAAATTCTGTACTTATATGTTGTACCACAACAATAGTAAGAAAAACAAAAGAATATGTCAAATAGGTGTTGGACACAACTACACAAACGCCTTGGTGCGTACCGAGTCTGATTGTATGTTCAACCTTGGTCCTTTGTTCCGAATATAAAGAATCTCGTAGATTAGAACAAAGGACCGAGGTTGAACGTACAATCAGACTTGGTACGTGCCAAGGCGTTTGTGTAGTTGTGTCCAACACCTATTTGACATATTGTTTTGTTTTTCTTACTATTGTTGTTGTACAACATATAAGTACAGAATTTGAATTTCATTAAAATACTTGAAAATGAAGTCAAGATGACTTCGAAATGTTGTAACTTACATGTGCTATTCTTTATTCCGAGTACTATCACAAAATCTCTACTAATAATAAATCATTGGCTTTAGTTACTTTTAATTTCAATTTTCTTAAACTAAGATGCAGTCAATCCCACAAAATTGTTTTTTCAGTTGTAAAAACATAAAGACAGCAACAAAGTGATGTGCAATTTGCATATAATCACATTTTTGTTTTCTTCAAGAATATTCAACTTAAATTTGCAAAACTATATTATAATGTCATTACATTYATCATTTTAATCCTTCCCACAAATATAAAACATTTTATGCAAGTTGCTTTTTGTGTCTTTATGGTATGTCTTCYCAACTGCATAACATTAATGGATTTGATTTTATCAAAATACGTAGTAAAATAATTTTATTCCAGCAATAAATTTATTTGCTGTAAAATATAATAAGTTAGAAGACCATTGAATTCAAGAATGAACAAAAAAGTAGTAAAATAAAAAGCCTAGGATTTGTACAATTTTGTGATTTACAAATTCTCTTCACCTTGACAGACATATCTGCCGAACAAGAAGCTAGATAAGTGCCAGATGGATCCCATCTTATTGTATTTACTTCACCCTGAAAGAAAACATTATTAGTACAGCAATTTTCACACATTTGTGCCCACAATGCCTGGCATGCATTTCTTACTTACCGTGTGTCCTCTAAAGGATTTTAAGGGTTTATCCTGACCAATTTTACAAATTTGGATACTTTTATCAGAAGAACATGAAGCAAAGCAGTTACTATTTTGCCAGTCTATATCTAAAGTTGGATCTAAAGAAATGCAAACTTGTTAACTAAAGAGAGGCTATACTATTTTTTGACAATTACATCTCTTACCTTGATGACAAATAAATTGCTGTTTGACTTCCCATGTATTTGCTTCCCAAACTATACATGACTAAAAATTAAGACAATGAAAACAATCAATTTATTGTGCAAGTGTTTCACAAAACACCTTGATATTTACAACAACAAAACAAAGCAATTCATCACTGACATTACATAGGTTCTTCAAGACGGATACAATGTCAAAAACACACTCAAAATCATTCAAAGTATCAATAAATCTGATCATGATGAACTGTTCTATAGATTCTTGAAGATTCAAATTGTGATATGTACATTATAGAATATTATAAAATTTTTGATATATAACGCGCGCTCTGGACAGAGACACGGCTTACCGGCAAAATTTTCTTTTCGCTCGAAATTTTTAAAAAAGAAATATAAAATGGCCGCTTGTGTCTCTGTCCTCTGATATAAACACGGTGGGAGTTGAAAAACATTCGAGAAGCAAGAGAAACACTCGCTACGCTCGTGTTCCTAACCTTGCTTGTCTCGTGTTTTTCAAACTCCCACCGTGTTTATATCAGAAGACAGAGACACGCGCGCCGTTTTATATTTCTTAAATTAAAAATGGACTAAACTGCATATTCATGATTGATTATTACTCCAGCCCAGGGCCTAGGCCGGGGCACGAGTCATAAAATTCAACGTGTATAATTTTTGTTGTTGTTGAATTGTTTCCAAGTCAGAAGATTGCCTTCGGGTCTTCCGATTGCCCTCCGACCTCTATACGAAATATCACATTACGCGAACTACTGTAAACCATCGTATCATAGAACAGGAGAGTTACTGTAGCTTTTTAGTAATTCTTTGATATTCGAGACCTTATGTCATTCCAAAACAATTATATCTGTGTAAGAGCACGTGTTATGACATAAAGGTTGGTGTATTGAGCCAAATAGTTCATTTTCACGGAGGAGTATTCCTAGATGAAGATTTTGTAGAGCGGGGCCATGGCGCCAAACTGTCTGATTCTGATACTGGGTATACTTGACCTTTAAATTACTACAATTAGAATAAATCTATCCATATATCTACTTTGTTTCACACGAAAGACTATCAGAGTGAACGATTTGAGTCACGTCTGCATTGCCGTGCGATGTATACCGTGTCTACGCTTTTAATGATTTGTCAAAAATTATTGTATATCTAGTTCCTTCAAAAACTGCTAAATGTCGCATGAAAAGTAATCAACAAGGAGTTACTTTCACAAATTTTACTCTTAATATATTTGATATCAGTTCCTATAAATGAACTGCATGCCTTTGGTAGATTCTTTACATCTAAACCAGACCCGCTTAGAGCGTCAACTCAGGCGAGCTATTTTTGAAAATTGAGAAAGACAGTATATTACATGGTTGGTCAAGTAGGCAAACAAGAGAAAAGTTTTAAATGAGCTCAATTTGAAAAAGCACTGAGTAAGCCAGCACTTTTCAACACCTTTAAGGCACGAGTACACCCTGCTGTCAGGGTTTAGTTGTTCTAAAATAATGCTGATGGTTAAGGTGTCTGGATACAGTTGTTTAGAACTCATACCGGGACGAAAGAAACGGATCAAAAAGTACAAGGACAATAAGTGAATTAAAGGTTTCATATATAATATCAAATAGCTCTATCATTTCTAACATTTTTATTGAGAGGAATCCCAATCAATATACCAAAGCACACAAATAAAATGCCGTTGTGTCATTATGCATATAAATTGTGTTGATATACATGTTGTAGATCAGGTTCAATATGATTTTGAACCAGTTCAATTTCTTCTRAACTGGTTCAGTTTATTTTGAGCCAGTCCAATATAACTCAATCCAGTACAAATCAGTTTAGGGTTAGGGTTAGGGTTAGGATTAGGTTTTGGGTTGGGTTTAGGGTTGGGAATAGGGTTAAGCCAGCGCATTATATAAAATTTTTCTTCATTAATAAATTACAATTAAGATAAAAACAATTTGCAAACATTACTACCAACAAAATCCTTGATGGTATAATTGGTAGTACTGTGGACTATGAAGCAAGAGTTCAGTGGTTCAAACCCTGATGAAGAAGTGTTATTCATAAATTAAAATTATAGAAAATATCAATATTTCTGTAGGTTATAGGGTAAGATAAAGTAGGAAATAGTAGAAGGTAGAAAATAAGATGATAGATAGAAAATAGTTCTTTTAGTTCTTTTAAGAATGCCAAAGCAAAAAAAAAGGGGACCAACCAGTACAAGAAGTCTTGTACTGGAACAAATTAGATTAAACAGGTTCAAAAATATATTGAACCTGAACTACAACATACACAATTCTCCAATTAAACAATGGCGTACGACAACTAATATCCTTGCATAGATTGAGAATGTAACGATGAAATCACTGATGCAAAATGTACGTTTTTTAAAAATTTATTGTGTCCGTTGTAAATAATCAATTCAAAATCAGTGACATGCAAAAGCACTAGAGGGGTTTTGSCTTTATGGAGAAGAAAYTTAAAACAACTTCTAGGACTCCATTTCGAGTTAAGACAGTCAGAGTCTGTTTGTCTCAAAARAGCTAGCATGCAATAAAAACATACCTTCTGCTTCATACCTATAACTCCCTARCAAATTTGTGTACAGTGCCGAAACTCTGCATGAACGTAGCAATAATATGATAGGTAAGTTCTTTTACAGAAATCAGTCAATATATAATTGATACAAAGTAAAATGTGAATTTTTTATTTTGTATTTTGTATACGCTCTTTTTCTTTGAAAATTCATGCTCCAAGAACTGCATGATGCTGTCTTTCCTCAATGAATTTCAATCAAACTTTGGTAWTCGTTAGGCAATACCTCTAATATYATGTCCAAGAGGTATCGCAGAAAAAATAGTCTTAATTCGTTTGAAATAGCTGTAAAAGCGTTTTCCTGGATTTCTCCATAAAATGCATACATTAAATCCGATTTTCATATTAGTTTCAAATTAACTCAAATTGACCTGTTTCTTTCGTCCCGGTCAGAGTTCRAAACAACTGTATCCAGATACTTAAGTGTTTGGAAGATGAAAATAAATGGGGTKTCTCACAATGATGCMGRATTCAAGTACCCAAAAACTGCAGATGAACTCCAGTAGAACCATATATCATGGCTCTTTATTTATTTTAAAATAATTGTTTATTCTGTACATTACATGTACAGGTGTGAAACAAAGCTAATCAATAATTATCTTTGCCAAATAAAGTTAACAGCTTACTTTATCAACCCCAGCACTGACAAGATAGTTTCCTTTTTTATTCCACTTGAGTGCAAAGATGGGAGCTTTATGCTCTCTTAATGTTGCTATTAATTGACCTAACAAATACAACAATATGAGCTTAAGAAATGATAATTTTCAACTTAAATAGGTGCAATATACAGACATGTCAGAATTATGCGTGGGTGCATAATTACTCCCTTTCCGCATAATTTACCAAATTGCCCATAATCCCACATAATTCATGATTTTTTTCCATGTTATACCATTTTTTAAGATGAATTGCCTTCTACTAATGTTTTTTGTGGTCCCTTGACTGTTTTTTTGATCAAAAAATGCTCCCAAACATGCTTATAATTTTCCTAATATAATTTTGTTTTCGTGGGCTTCACAAATGTACCAGGCATTCAAAATTTCATCAGAAAAGAGTCTGGGCACTAGCATTACTGGTCACCCTATGCCTTACCAGATCACGTGACAAATTCCAATATGGCGTATAATATAAGTGAGAACGAAAAAGTCTAAAAAGAGTTTTGCATGAAAAACAAACACAACAACCTAAAAATATGTAAAATTTCCCAAAGTTTACGTTCCTGTGATGACGTCATCCCGCATAATTTACCCTTTTCTCTGTATAATTTGGGGTAAAAAATCTGCATAATTTTGATTTTTTTCGCGCATAATTCTGACATGTCTGAATATATCAGTGTCAATAATATATGAATAATTATTTCTATTTGCTACCTTCGTGAGTCCATATTCTTGCACATCCATTACAACAGCCAGATGCTAAATATGTTCCATCATTCTGTTGACAATAAATCAAATGTACATATTCAAAAAMCAAAATATGTGTGTAAATAAACTATAACATTGGAACATTAAAATCAAAAATTTACATTAATTTGGTATATTTCCAATCATGTTGCCCTTTAACTAGAGTTTTATTTGCAACTTACATTCCATTCTAAAGAAGAGACATCAAAATTAGTATTAGAGATGTCTTGCTGGTCTTTTAGTTTATGATCCAAAACAATGGCTGATCCTACTACACTTTCATTGATAAGCCACAGGCGTGCTGTACCATCCTCTCCCCTATATAAAATAATATATCATCA